GAGCCACCTGTGTAAAGAGTCCCATCGCTGTCCTTCTGAGCTGGGCCTTCGCATGCTGCCTTCGATGGCTTCGGGAGCGGAGTGGAATGTCACATAAATAGATCCTATCCGTGTATAACCATCTCTACAGAGCTGCTTTTCAAAAGCGGGTGACGGTACTTTCTCAGATGTTTCTAGACGCTTGTCCCAGGTTAAAGCTGCATCACCTGATCCCTAGTTTGTGCTACGCTTTCGTGTTTCATCTTTTTAATTATGTTCCGAGTCTGATAAATTGAAAAATGGTTCAATGTGAAAATGCACAGAGTTTGTATGTTTCTTCCACTGCTCAGTGTCATCAGTAAAATCGTAATAGAAACCTCTGTGCACAAAGCTGATCCCACATTCCTAAGTATCTCCCTAGGGGGGCATTCCGGGGGAATTTGGGGGTTCTGGCATATCCCTGGCTTTACGAGTCCGGTGGGGTGGCGCCAGGCGCTGAGCGGAGCCACAGGGCCGCCCATGGGGGGTGAGGGCACCAGCTGCCCCCAGCGGCGTCCCCGGCAGCAATGCCGGCATCTCGCCGTCCAGGATGAACCAGCAGGTGCACAAGCTGTGAAGCTCCAGCCGTCGCTCTAGCGACACCGTGACTTCCGGGTGGAGCTTCCCACTTTGCAGATGTTGTGACAACAGGAGAAGGGAACCGCCACGCCCCGCACCCATGGGGACACCTGCCGCTGGCCCTCGTCCCGCTGGGCGGGACACCGAACGGGCAGGATGTCTAAACAGGCGCTGTGTGTGTGACCACACACGGCCCACTTGCCCAGTGCTCTCGGCTCAGGCCTAACTGGGGGTCACCAGGCGGGCACCACACACAATGAGCCTGCGCTGCCCCCCTGTGGCCAGCCGAGGAAAGGACGCCTGTGCCAGCAGCTGGGAACGGAGCTGAGTCCCCAGATCTGCAGATGGAGGGCTGAGACGGAATCACACACACACGCACACGCACATGCACACGCACACACACGCAGACACGCACACACGCGCACACACACATGCATGCACACATGAGTGCACACACAGAGACATGCACGCACCCATGCATGCACACGCACACACCCACACACCCATGCACACGCACACACATGCACACACACAGACACGCACACGCACATGCATGCACACACATGCGTGCGCACACACAGACATACACGCACACACGTGCACGTACACATGAGCGCACACATGCACAGACATGCACACACACATGCATGCACACATACACACACATGCATGCACACACACGCACAGATGCGCCCACGTGTACGCATGCACATGCACACACACACATACTCACACGCACACACACACGCGCACCAGCATGGCTGGCTCAGAGAGACGAGAGTGAAATGACCGAGGACTCGTCACCGCCGCACGCGGAGTGTGGGCCTCACACGCGTCGGCCGAACGCTGCTCGCGTCCCCTCCCCGCAAACGACAGCGTGCTTCCCACTTACGACGAACGTCTACACGGGCGTAAAGAACCGTGCAAGCACGCCTTCCCCGAAGAGCAAACTGCGCGGG